CCCCACCCAACGGGGAGCGACCTGGCCGTGCAGGTCGAGGGGGCAGCGCCCCTCGGGGGGGCTCGGGGGCAACACCCCTGATAGGATTTTTGATTTTCATGTATGTATGAAATTGCATTTTTTCTAACATTTTTGAATTAAATTATTAATAAGTGGTTGGGTTGAATGTATGAGTGAAAGTGTTGGTAACTTGGGGTAATGGAATGGAATAAGTAAAAGTAGTATAATTGTTCAAAAAAAAAAAATTTAATAGCCTCCCATGCGCGGACGGGGAGTAGCACATCTCCCCGTGCGCAGACGAGGAAAATTGAATCCTCCCCGTGCGCGCACGGGGAGTTGTGCTTCTCCCCGTCCGCAGACGGGGAAAATTGAATCCTCCCCGTGCGTGCACGGGGAGATGTGCTTCTCCTCGTCCGCGCACGGGAGGCATATGTAGGTACTTGTATTATTGCTTAAGTATATCCTTATGCAATTTGTATTACATTAATACTGATTTGAAGTTGATTACAGGCCCAGTTGGAAAAGGGAGGAGGATGGATAGTGAGAAAGATGACGGAATTGTTGACAATGAAGCTGAAGTTTTTGATGTTAATGGCTGTTGTAACTCGACTGCTGAAGCCAACAGTGAAGTTGAATGCTCTTTTGAAGCCTTGGAAGATGATAATCATAAACCAGATGAGACATTTATGGCTGATGAACTTAGAACGTGGAAAAGGGCTAAATCTTCAGTCAATGACAGTGGTTGGTTATATTTTGTCATTTCTGAATTTCTCTATTGAAAGTGTTGTCTTTAGACTATTTTGGCTTATTTTGTGTAGTGTACCAAATTCAGGTATCCATATTAAAGACGAGGACAAAAGCTGTCTACAAAATGAAACAACAATAGTCACTAATCATACTTTAGCCGACACTGATAAAAGCTTGAAGTTACACCCACGTGAAAAGAAGCTTATTCATTTCAGAAACAAGCTTTATCTTGCTCCCTTTACAACGTATGAAATCTACCATTTTGCAGAGTTTGCAAGGTTCTAGGAACTGATATTACATCTGGTCAGCCAGCTTTTGTTCATTTATCTCGGATGTCCTGTACATATGTTCTAACAATAAGTGCTAACAATAATCTACGACAAAATCATAAGAGATGCATAGAGAAACCTAATTCTGTTATATAAACTGAAGTAGGATATTCATAATCGAGCAACATAAATCAGAATCTAACAGAAACTCTCGGAACAAGCAAATCAAAGAAATAGGGTGAACATGGGGAAGAACATGATGGTGCTTCAGTTTCAGTTGGTTCAGAAGTGAAAGAAGAAATTCAAGTGAAAGAAGAAACTCATTTACCTGACAGGCTGAAGCCGTAAGTGTTCTTTATCTTTACTCGAAGTTGTAGTAGTAGATGCCGTGCAACTGTTGTAAACTGAAGTTTTAATACGAAATAGAATTTGTGTTGGAGAAGAAAGAAAC